TAATAACAATGACAAATGAATTAATAAATTGATGAATATTTTTTTTTTTTAAATAACTAAAATATGCAAAAATTTGCATAAAGAATGAAATATTTTTAGTGGAGTCGAATTGAAATTTATCCAACATTTTCCATAAAAATTGGCTGTAAATTTGATTATTCCGCATTTCCATTTGATACGCAAATATGTGGCCTTGGAATTTACACAACAAATCGGATGAGTGAAGTTCAGCTTTCGGTTTATTACAATATGCAACCTACCGTATTACTTGGTTTGGTTCATTAATTTGAATTTATTGTAAAACAAATAAATTTCAAACTTTATTTATAATTTTAATTTCTTTTATTTATCAAAAAACTTGCAACAAATGAATTTGTATTCATTCCTTACATTTTTTTGTTTTTTTTGCTTTTTTTTTAAAAAAAAAAAATTTTTATCATTTGCTTTTAATTTAATACCTAAACTTAAATTTAGGTTGGGGTAATCAATCAAATAAAAAACATATCAGTGATTGGATGATTGATACGGTAACAATGAATGTTAGTTATTTTAATGGTGGTAAATATAAAGCTGAAAAGCCAACTGATCCGGAAGAACTGGATGTTTCTTGGTTTGATTTATAAATTTTTTAATTATTTCCTAAAATTATATCACAAAATTTTTTTTTTACTAAGATATTATATTCCTAAATTGTGCATAATATATCGAAATTATGGTGCTAGAAGAAGAAAGATTAAATCAGAAAGAAGCATAAAAATCGATTAACAAAACAAATTAAATAAATAAATGTTGGATAAAACATAATACATGTCATCAAAATGTCAATTCATTGGTGTAATTACTAAACTGAATATGTGGAGAACTTTCTTGGATTGCTGGTAATTTAGTTTAAACTGAATGAAACAAAATATGATTGAATTTAGATTATTAATTTCCAAATTATTTATTATGAAAGACTGCTTGCTATTGTATTTGACAAATATAAACTACGGCAAAAATTACTGTACTGTTTAGAATCTGAATGTAATTTAATAAAATTTATTTTGTTTTAGTTAGGTATATTTAATCATTAAATGCTTCGTTTTAATTTCAATCTTATGGATAAATCGATTTTATATTACTATATTTTATTAATTAATGTATAAGATATATTCTTATATTACTTTTAAATTTTAAATTTACATTTCTCAATTTAAAATCTAACATATTTATTATCAAATTATTATATCCATACAAAATTCGCTTAATATCATTAAATCTGTAAATTAGAATTTGATATTTACCGGTTAAAAAAAAAAGATTTGATTTCTTCAATTTTACCGTATATCGTGAAGTTTCATTATCCAAACCATTACTTTTAATTCATTTTAGGTTCCATATTCTTAAATCATTTCTGATTAAATCATTTTAATTTTAGGTCAATCTTATACGCATGGTTAACCTTACATCGGAATGCAACGTCCTTTACCTTAACATTACTGTTACCAACATTGGTGTCATATATGTTTGTCATTTGTTCATTCCTTCTAGCAGCACCTGATTCAGCTATTTATATCTTACTTTCTAATTTAATCTTTCTTGGTGTATTTTTTGAAGATCTTGCAATAATGATTCCACCAGCTATTGGAAAATTACCCAAAATTGGTACCATTTTTTAATCTTTTCTCTTAAGGAATAATTAAATATGTTAATGAGTTATAAGTAAATAAGCAAGAGAATGATAAATGAATAAAGAGTATGAAAGTGTACAACTTAAATAAGTAATCAAAAACAAGAATTGTTGAATATAAAATCAAATTGAAAAAGTAATAAACAAAAATGGCAAAATACTCAAATAATTAAATAAATGAAGTGTTTAGTTATTGCCAATAAATTAATTATTAGTTGTAATTATGATTGTTATTATTACCACTGTTATTATCATTATTGTTATCATTATTCAGAAACTAAATTCAGTTTAATTACAACCTAATTAGTCAACAATTTTTTTCTAGATTTTTTTGTTAGCTATTTGAGTATTATTTTGCAATTTTTCGAGCATCTTTTCTTATTTAACTTGTATAATTTAAAAGAAGTAATTAAGGAATTAAATCAGAAATTTTAAATTAAAAAATTGTAGTCGGACACTTCATTTCCCACATTCATTTTATCAGTTCAGTTTGGTTTATTGGAATTAATTTGGTGCTAACTATGGTGGCAATATTTTTACATCTATGGTTACGGTATTTGTTGAAAAGAGAAGATACCGTAACAAAATGGTATCTTTATATATTACATGTCAAAAGGATTATACCAAAACGGTGGCGTATTGCATTACTTGATGATGCCATCGATAGTGTTGGGATTGAACAGAATACCAGAGGTACAGGTCTTCTTCCATCAATTAATTTTTTTTTTTTTTTCTACATCAATGAGATAAGATAAGAGTAAAAATATTTAATTATCAACAACTCTGTTAATTAAAAAATTTTTCGCAAATATTTAAAATTTCAAAAATTTTAATTGCTAGGAAAAGTTAATACTTGAACATTAACAGAATTTAAATAAATATAATTCATCATTAATTAATCTTTCCTTCTTCACTTTTTTATTTTTTTCCTTTGCATAATTGTTCACCAGATTAGAGGTAATACGAAAAGATAAAAATTATTTTCAATTTTTACTTACAGTGGCAAATTTCACTGTTGCGAAAGATTTAATTAGATGAATAGATATTATTATTATTATTATTATTATTATTATTATTATTATTATTATTATTATTATTATTATTATTATTATTATTATTATTATTATTATTATTA